TGAGTACCCCATGTCACCGAGTGCCCCATGTCACCAAGCACCATGTGTCACCAAGCACCCTGTATGACCGAGCGCCCCATGTCACCATCGCCCCATGATACTGGGCACTCCACACCACTGAGTGCCCCATATCACCAAGCACCCCATGTCACCGAGTGCCCTGTGCCACCGAGCGCCCCATGTCACCGAGTGCCCTGTGTCACCGAGTGCCCTGTGCCACTGTGCACCCCATGCCACCATCACCTCATGACACTGGGCACTCCACACCACTTGAGTACCCCATGTCACCGAGTGCCCCATGTCACCAAGCACCATGTGTCACCAAGCACCCTGTATGACCGAGCGCCCCATGTCACCATCGCCCCATGACACTGGGCACTCCACACCACTGAGTACCCCATGTCACCGAGTGCCCCATGTCACCAAGCACCATGTGTCACCAAGCACCCTGTATGACCGAGCGCCCCATGTCACCATCGCCCCATGATACTGGGCACTCCACACCACTGAGTGCCCCATATCACCAAGCACCCCATGTCACCGAGTGCCCTGTGCCACCGAGCGCCCCATGTCACCGAGTGCCCTGTGTCACCGAGTGCCCTGTGCCACTGTGCACCCCATGCCACCATCACCTCATGACACTGGGCACTCCACACCACTTGAGTACCCCATGTCACCGAGTGCCCCATGTCACCAAGCACCATGTGTCACCAAGCACCCTGTATGACCGAGCGCCCCATGTCACCATCGCCCCATGACACTGGGCACTCCACACCACTGAGTACCCCATGTCACCGAGTGCCCCATGTCACCAAGCACCATGTGTCACCAAGCACCCTGTATGACCGAGCGCCCCATGTCACCATCGCCCCATGACACTGGGCACTCCACACCACTGAGTACCCCATGTCACCGAGCACCCCATGTCACCGAGTGCCCTGTGTCACTGAGTATGTGCCACTGTGCGCCCCATGTCACCATCACCTCATGACACTGAGCACTCCACACCACTGAGTGCCCCATATCATGCCACCATCACGCCATGACACTGGGCACTCGACACCACCAAGTGCCCCATGTCACTGAGCACCACATGTCACCAAGCACCCTGTGCCAGCGAGTGCCCCGTGTCACCGAGCACCCCATGTCACCCATTGCCCTGTGTCAGTGAGTACCCCGTATCACCAAGTACCTGGTGTCACCAAGCGCCCCATGTTCCCGAGTACCCCGTGCCACCGAGCACCCCATGCCAAGCACTCCGTGCACTGAGTGCCCTGTGCCACCAAGTGCCTCATGTCACCAAGCACCCCATGTCACTGCATGCCCTGTGTCCCCACGCGCCCCGTGTCCCCTTGCGCCGTGTCCCCATGTCCCATGTCCCCTTGCACCCCGTATCCCTGTGTCCTGTGTCCGTGCACCCTGTGTCCCCAAGTGCCCCATGTCCCTGCGTCTAGTGTCCCTGCGCCCCATGTCCATGCTCCCTGTGTCCCCAAGTGCCCCATGTCCCTGTGCCCCTGTGCCCTGTGTCCCTGCACCCCGTGTCCCTAAGCACCCCGTGTCCCTGCGTGCCATGTCCCCGCATCCCGTGTCCCTGCGTGCCATGTCCCTGTGCCCTGTGTCCCTGCGCCCCGTGTCCCTGCACCTCGTGTCCCTGCGCCCCATGTCCCTGTACCCCGTGTCCCTGCACCCCATGTCCCCGCATCCCGTGTCCCCAAGCGCCCCATGTCCCTGCGCCCCGTGTCCCTGCGCCCCGTGTCCCTGCGTGCCATGTCCCTGCGTGCCATGTCCCTGCGCCCTGTGTCCCGTGTCCCTGCGTGCCATGTCCCTGCGAGCCATGTCCCCAAGTGCTCCATGTCCCTGTACCCCGTGTCCCTGCACCCCATGTCCCCGCATCCCGTGTCCCCAAGCGCCCCGCGTCCCCGCGCCGCACCTTGAGCTCGTACTCCTCGCGCGTGTCCAGCGTGTCGCAGCGCAGGTCCTGCTTGAGCTCCACGTCGTCCTTGAAGGACTGCGGGGACAGGGGCAGAGCGGGCGCTCGCCCATGTCCCTGTGTACCCATATCCTCGTGTCCTCATGTCCCCACGTCCCCGTGTCCCCACATCCCCGCGTCCTCATGTCCCCACATCCCTGTGTCCCCCTATCCCCACATCCCCAGGTCCCCATGTCCCTGTGTACCCATATCCTCGTGTCCTCATGTCCCCACGTCCCCGTGTCCCCACATCCCCGCGTCCTCATGTCCCCACATCCCTGTGTCCCCCTATCCCCACATCCCCAGGTCCCCATGTCCCTGTGTACCCATATCCTCGTGTCCTCATGTCCCCACGTCCCCGTGTCCCCACATCCCCGCGTCCTCATGTCCCCACATCCCTGTGTCCCCCTATCCCCACATCCCCAGGTCCCCATGTCCCTGTGTACCCATATCCTCGTGTCCTCATGTCCCCACGTCCCCGTGTCCCCACATCCCCGCGTCCTCATGTCCCCACATCCCTGTGTCCCCCTATCCCCACATCCCCAGGTCCCCATGTCCCTGTGTACCCATATCCTCGTGTCCTCATGTCCCCACGTCCCCGTGTCCCCACATCCCCGCGTCCTCATGTCCCCACATCCCTGTGTCCCCCTATCCCCACATCCCCAGGTCCCCATGTCCCTGTGTACCCATATCCTCGTGTCCTCATGTCCCCACGTCCCCGTGTCCCCACATCCCCGCGTCCTCATGTCCCCACATCCCTGTGTCCCCCTATCCCCACATCCCCAGGTCCCCATGTCCCTGTGTACCCATATCCTCGTGTCCTCATGTCCCCACGTCCCCGTGTCCCCACATCCCCGCGTCCTCATGTCCCCACATCCCTGTGTCCCCCTATCCCCACATCCCCAGGTCCCCATGTCCCTGTGTACCCATATCCTCGTGTCCTCATGTCCCCACGTCCCCGTGTCCCCACATCCCCGCGTCCTCATGTCCCCACATCCCTGTGTCCCCCTATCCCCACATCCCCAGGTCCCCATGTCCCTGTGTACCCATATCCTCGTGTCCTCATGTCCCCACGTCCCCGTGTCCCCACATCCCCGCGTCCTCATGTCCCCACATCCCTGTGTCCCCCTATCCCCACATCCCCAGGTCCCCATGTCCCTGTGTCCCCATATCCTCGTGTCCTCATGTCCCCATGTCCCTGTGTCCCCACATCCCCGCGTCCTCATGTCCCCGTGTGCCCATATTCTCGTGTCCTCATGTCCCCACATCCCCACGTCCCCATGTCCCCACATCCCTGTGTCCTCATGTCCCTGCGTCCCCGCATCCCCACATCCTCCTGTCCCCCTGTCCCGGTGTGTGTGCCCATATTCTCGTGTCCTCATGTCCCCACATCCCCACGTCCCCATGTCCCCACATCCCTGTGTCCTCATGTCCCTGCGTCCCCGCATCCCCACATCCTCCTGTCCCCCTGTCCCGGTGTCCCCATGTCCCCACATCCCCATGACCCCGTGTCCTCGTGTCCCTGTGTCCCCATGTTCTTGCATCCTCATGTCCCCACATCCCCACGTCCCCGTGTCCCCATGGCCCTGCATCCCCATGACCCCACATCCTGGTGTCCTCACGTCCCCACATCCCCATGTCCTCATGTCCCCATGTCCCCACGTTCCTCCATCCCTGTGTCCCTATGTCCCCATGACCCTATGTCCTCGTGTCCCCGTGTCCTGGCATCCTCACGTCCCCATGTCCCTGCGTCCCTGTCTTCATGTCCCCATGTCCCCGCGTCCCCGGCACTCACTCCCTTTGCGGCGCCGGTAGAGGAAGCAGGCGAGGGCCACGAGGAAGGCGACGAGCAGGATGCTGGCCCCGATGGTGGCCCCGGCGATGATGCCCACGGGCAGCACCTCTATGGGGACAGCAACACGGGCCCATCAGCGTGGCCAGGCGCGAGGGGCCCCGGCGTCCGGGCCGGGCGCTACCTTTCTCATCCAGCTGGATGATGGCGGTGCCGGGCCCGAAGCTGTTCCAGGCCGTGCAGTTGTAGCGCGTCTGGAAGTCGGCGTCCACCACGTTGTTGATGGTGAGGGTGGACAGGACGCCGCTGCCCGTGTTGCTCCGCTCCACCGTGTAGCGCTCCAGCGTGCCGGCCTCCAGGATGTTCTCCTTCCAGGCCCAGGCCTGGAGCCGGGAGGAAGA